GTGCTTACAAATTACCGTGAGGTTAGAACCCACGGTCAGTCAACACTAAGTACCACTAGCTGCCTCAAAATGCGAGGCAAAATAAGAGTTGGGATCTGATTTGATCTCCGATGTCGGCCACTTAGGCACACAGGCTGAGGATCTTCGAGACAAATTAAAAAAAAAGAAAACAAGAAAACAAACAAAGCACCGTAATAAGACTAACATTAAGTTCTGCGCTCAGTTATTTTGATTTCTCGACAAAATATCGTTCAACCTGAAGTTCTGATATGCTCTCAATACCCATTGCTAGGTCATTAAACACTGTAGGCCTTGGCGGATCATGTCGACCCATGACTGACCACATCAACCACTTAAATAATGGGTTTTTTGGGCTAGCATAATATTTCCTATAAGTTTTCAATATCCACGAACCTCCAATTGACGAAACTGAAAGTTGTAATAGTAAACGTAAAACAGTGCAGAGTTACAGTGTAAATAACTAATTATGAGCACACACATTCCAGAATACACTTCAGAATTCGGAAGAATACACTTCAGAATTCGAAAGTCCCAACACCTTTCTGTCCGGAATATCAGACAGATGTAGGCCTTAGGGCCTACCTGGTGCGGTGCAAAATAAATTCCTTGCACGCGCCTTCCACTTCCATTTTATAATAGTTTTTTTTTTTATAGTTCTTCAATCCATTGGAAATACTTGGAGACGCGCAGACAATATACCTAGCCGTAGCTCCATGAAGCTCGCTTTGCACACAGCCTGTGCACATTACGATGGCCCAACTTCGTTTTTCGAAGTCAATTTTTAAAATTTTCCGTTGTTGTCGATTATTTAACTTTAACCATGGCGTCAGGTTGTGGGCTTTCAGTCAATATGCAGCGTCGTTCTGTAAAACGTTATTATTAGCACACGCACATCTGCAATTTGTTTTCCTTTAGAAGAGAAGTGATTGTTTAGCAAGCTCACTGCTTGGAACACAGCTGCAACTGCAAGGGCACGCCATAATCTAGTGTATACTTCACTCCCCTATTGTTCCAGTTTATTGGTCCTAAAATACTTTCAATATCCTACTAAAACTTAAATACATGTATAACCCGATCCTAAAGCCAAGCATCTGTGAATATGCTATATTACAGACGCATGGTTAGTTAATGTTTTATTTTTGTGATCCAAGAATATAATACCGTATTACTTCTCTGACTGAAATGTTAATGAATCTTACACCTCTTTTTGACAACATGCTGCTCTTAATTAAAGAACAGACTCGCAATTTTCTTCCTTTTAAACTTACAGCGGATCAATGATCAATGTTGTAATCTGCTTCACATTATAGGTCAAATAGTGTGAACTAGACAGCCAGTTGCAACGCCTGTTCTCCAACGAAATCGAATGGCATTTTGTTGCTGTTTGAATGTTGAAAAAAAAGAGCATTCAATTTGAAATGAATTTGCCTGGGCCTTGCATTAATCCGAACGATTTTTTAATGAAACAGGCGGGGAAAGCTTAGACCTACAAAAAGTGATTTGGAGATTTTTTTGTGGATAAAGATAAAGTCATTGTTTAGACAAAATCGAGTCGTAGAAGCAATGCATTAATTTACTAATCAATTAATTACGTAAGGGCACAGCGACGCAGCAGTCAGTCGAACCTAAAAGCCCAAACTATGGCCGAGTAAAAAAACTCCCTGTCCTTGTCTGCGTCAGGTTTTCCTTGGTTACCTCTTTTCATTTTTTTTTATTTTGGCATTTCACGGTAGAAATAAAGTATTCTGATATAAATCGTGACAATTATTTTAGACAAGACACTCATGACTATCTGTCTACCACTTTAGAAAGAAAGAAGGGGCGACCCCTCCCCTATCAAAGACAAGAACTTTTTCACTCAGCTAAATAAACCATTTATCCATCGTTGTATCAACTTATTACTTTTGCAGTTGATTGAAGCAGAAGAGATGAACCTGAAAAACGCAGTGAAAGCCATGTTTGCGGGGCAAGCAGTTTGCCTTATCTTATTCCTCAGATGTAAGTCGATCTTCATAATTGTAACAGGTGTAGATGTACTAGTAGACCGTCAATGATCGTTTTGAACGAGATGTCCCTTTTTGGGTCGTGTTCCCCGTCTCCACGTTGTTGAGTGAGTACTCTGAAATGGGAAGGAGTATGACATGAGGGTAAATCCCGGGTGATGGGGTACTTAGCCACCCGCCATAGGAGGGGTATGAGCTATTGAATCGTCTTCCCTCCCCCCCCAACTTTTTTCGTGGTAAGCAAAAAACTGAAGTGGATTGTGGAGACTTTTGGGACCTTCCAACTGAAATGTTGTCAACATCACTCAAAAAAGGGTGGCAATAAACATCCCCATAAATATGCCGTTCTGGTGTAAGATTCTGCATGAATGCAATACATAAATATGTACATCTGTATCAGGAACATCGCCCCTTATGTAGTGTCAAATGGTATCAGCCCCCACCCCTTATCAAATGTCCTTGGTAGGAACTCTCCTCCCCCTATTCCAATTCCCTTCCCCCAATTCTGGCATAAATTTAGACCACTAGGTCCTGATCATTTGATATAAGGCCTGACATTGAAAAGTATTTTTCATTGAGACAATGAATCTCACCTGAGTTTTTATTCATACATTGGAACCACCCCCAGGGAGCTCAAGGGTGGTTTCTATAATTTGAGCATATATTGTGTCATCTTTGTTCCCATACATAGGTTTTTAGAAAAAAAACCCCAGATTACAGGGATCGCCTCGCTTTCGATTCAAAGGGGCTAGCCTGTGAACACAGCTTACACATATGCACATGCACACTAGTGGGGATGGTTTGCAGTCTCCAAGGGTGCATTCTACTAAATTCAAGTGAGAATTTCTGGCCAGCTTATCAGTGCCCCGAGGTATCTTGTGAGAAAAGGAGATTGTTAGACCCCTGAAGTGTACATCTTTGCCAGGATCAACTCCCTGGGTCTTTGGGCTGTCATCTGAGAGCAGAATGGCTAATAAAATACGGTTGAAAATGTCCTACGTGCCAGAGACAGTTAAGGGTTGCCACTTGAAAAATGGCTTCTAGCAGACTTTGGAAACATCACTTTTCGAAGGGTGATTTTATTTGATAGAAAAAATTAAAATGTAATCGGTTAACCCATAGAAAATCGAAAAGAAATGAAAGATTAGGGACAAGACAATAATTGACTTTGTGTTTCAGAAACCCCAGAACTGTTGGCATTGCATGTTATTGGGCCCTGAACAATGCCGATTTTGTACTGTTTTGAACGAGGCTTGAATTTATGGTGGACTAGTCGGCACGAAGGAAATTTATGGTCTCGACCAACCTGACTGAGGCCTACCTAAACAGTACGCGATGCGAAAAGAAGGTATTTGAGTTGTATAAAGGGATTTGCTTGCATTCACAATGGAAGAAGAAAACATGAAAAAGGACACTACCGGTAGGCCCTAGGCACCCTCAAAAGACCTCCAAACTCTCTTGAAATACTGGTACGGAAGCGTATAAACGCCACTTGTAAAAAATGTTTTTCGAGTAATTATCTCACTGTTGTGAGTTACTATTTCGCCGCGGCGAGATACTACGCACCGAGATAGTAACTCGAAAAAATTGTTTGCAAGTGGCCCTTATCCGGTTTGTAAGCGACTTCGTCACAAAGGCGGACGTGCCACGATTTTCAGGCTCCCATTGGACGATCGCTGAAGTTGTGTGTTAACTTCCGGTTCCATGGTTCCCTGTAAACGTTGTGTTAACTTCCGGTTCCATGGTTCCATGTAAACGGCGATCATTGTATGTATTTCTATGTGCAGTGCATGCGCAGGGGGTGTGGTTTAAACTGAACTGACGTAACACGAACCGGATACGCTTCCGTATAATTAATAAAATTGTTTATAAAAAGTCGGAAAAAGACAAATCTTATTTAAAACGTTACAAAGAAAAAAGTGGTACCAAGGGTGGGTCCAGAACCGTCTTTTCCTCTGTGTGTGTGTGTGTGTGTGTTTGTGGGTGGGGTGTGGGGGTGTGTGAGTTTGTTTCTGCATTCAATTGGGGACTCTGAACAATAGCGGACAATAAGGTCCCCGATTGACAGAGGGTCCCCTATTGACAACTNGCCGAGATAGCAACTCGAAAAAATTGTTTGCAAGTGGCCCTTATCCGGTTTGTAAGCGACTTCGTCACAAAGGTGGACGTGCCACGATTTTCAGGCTCCCATTGGACGATCGCTGAAGTTGTGTGTTAACTTCCGGTTCCATGGTTCCCTGTAAACGTTGTGTTAACTTCCGGTTCCATGGTTCCACGTAAACGGCGATCATTGTATGTATTTCTATGTGCAGTGCATGCGCAGGGGTGTGGTTTAAACTGAACTGACGTAACACGAACCGGATACGCTTCCGTATAATTAATAAAATTGTTTATAAAAAGTAGGAAAAAGACAAATCTTATTTAAAACGTTACAAAGAAAAAAGTGGTACCAAGGGTGGGTCCAGAACCGTCTTTTCCTCTCTGTGTGTGGATGTGTTTGTGGGTGGGGTGTGGGGGTGTGTGCGTGTGTGTGTTGGGGGGGATGGGGGTACTTTTGTAAAAGTGTGTGGTCAAAATAATTGATATTTTCTTCATGGCTTTTCCTAGGGTGAGGGTGCATTCTGGGGCTTGTTAAGAGACTAAATTGAATAGATAAAAAATCCCGTTTCTCTTATTATTGTTTCAAAAATTCTTCTCTTTTTTGGGAGGGGGTAGTTTCCAGCGGATCTACCCTAGTGCAGTAGGCCTACTGTCTATTACTGGAATAAACTGTCGGGTGATTTGGAATTTTTGTATTTCGTGCGCAGACTATTTTGTGGGCAAAAACGTCAGTCAAGCCGTAAATCTGATCCAACACGAAGAACTGACCACAACGACCCCGCCCATTGTGGGGCGAGTGTCCGGCTGCAGCCTGTCAGATATCGAGGGGAGGCCCAACGTCGTTCTCCTGACGAACACCAATACTGGCTACGTTGACATGACGCTGAACATGCTAGCCAGCATCAGAAAGGCCGGAGTCTGCGTCAACACCACCATCATGGCGGAGGACGCCGGGGCCTACCAATATCTGTGCGAGACGACCAAGGACGACCCAGCAATCCACATGGTGTTCAGCAACTTTGGAGATGCCAGTTCCGGGAAACTGATGGTATTCTCCGTGCCCTACAAAAGTTGGTGAACCGGCGCCACTACTACATCCTGAGTCTGCTGGAGAGGGGCCAAGAAGTCCTCTTTATCGACGCCGACACCTTCTGGTTCCGCGACCCCTTCGAATACTTCCACGGCAACTTCGACATGTCTTTCGTGGACGAGCGGTCCCCGTACCCAAAGAGACTGCCCAAAAGATCGCTGCACTGTGCCGGCCTCGGGTACTTTCGACCGACGAACAGGACCCTGAGGTTTGTCAGAAAATGGATTTCAATTATAGCGGAGAAGAAGCGGCCCCCTTCTGATCAAGGTGTTCTAAATTACATGATGCACAATGATATACCGGAGCATGTGAATGTCAGGCCCCTTCCCCTAGCGTTTTTCCCCCACGCGCTGATCTATTACAAAGATAATTGGAATAAAAACCATAATGGTACGATTATAGTTCATAATGTGGGACTAAGGGGACACGACGCCAAAATGAACAAGTTCAAGGCGAACGGCATGTGGTTGGTGAACGTGACATATAACGAGATAGCGCAGTCATTCAATCAGAGTACGCGGCACTGAAAATGATATGTTTTACAAGAGCTCCTCCAATTTAAAGTGTTGCAGCGATGGATTTTTCTCAAAAACAATTTCTCTGCCACTTCGCAAAGTGCACTTTTTAAAACTGTTAAAAATATCCATGCTTTTCTAGACGACTGAGGGTGCCCTTGCTGTGATGTCATCCCGGGGAAGACATGGGTTTTTCTGTTCAACTTGATCGGGAATTGAACTAAAAACATTTCTGACAAAGGGACTGAAGCTTGCTGATCACTGTGCACATAAACATTAAATTAGAAGAGAAGAGAAAATTAAGTCCAGCGAGATCTACAAAACATAGGACTTTTTTAAAGTACAAACCTATAGACCTTTTAACTAAAAGCTTCATAATTATGCTCGTATGCATACGAATAGCCTTGGCGTCAAGAAGCGTGAGCGGGCCATTGAAAACGTACAGGGGAGCGATTTTGGTCATTTTCTCTCAAGTTTTCTGGTTTTGTTCATTTTTTTCTTCAGAAATCCCATTAAATCGTTTTTTTTCTATTAGTTTTTAATCTAAGTGGGATTTTAGTGCTCCTTTAAAAGACTTTTTATCGTGATATTTTCTGTGTGCACGAGATTGCCGCATCTAAGCAGGTCTCCTTTCGTGCTGTTTTATAGCAAAAACGATTTAATGACATTTTCAGAGAAAAACGTAACAAAGCCAGAAAACTTGACAGAGGATGATCAAATCGCACCCCTGTACGTTTTCAATGGCCCGCTCACACTTTTTGCCGCCAAGGCCATTCGTGCATGTTAGCATAACTATGAATATTTCAGTGAACAGGCCTAATGAGGCTTTCTTCCTGCTATGACATCACACTTTTGCTCATGAATATGGAAATAAACATTAGCATGAAACCAAAAGGGCAGTAAAATAGGCCTACCCTTTGAAATAGTGCTTACTGAGACACAAATGTGCACGTGGAAGGTCTGTATTAAAATCTAAATAGCACGTCGTCTTCGGAATCAGACACTCGATTCACTCTGACCCATTTCAGATCTGACATTTTTTAGGGTATCGACTTGCTTCTCTTTTGTGAAGGGAGTCTCCAGGATTCATTATCATGACCCTAAACAGCTTTTGTTTTTTAATCAAACGTTGGCTGGTGGAGGTGGTTCTGCTCTCATACAGTTCTAGGCTGTGGGTAGGACAGATTGAATTATGAAAGATTTGGCTCACTGATTCTGGCATGTTAGTGATAATTTGTATCCAGCGTTACATATGGCAATGTTTTGGCTATTTTTTTCTGGGTATGCACTGCACTATATAGCCTACTTAACTATTCGCGCGCGGCGCACAGGAGCCGCGCCTGGCGTGAATAGACTAATGGGTGCATGTATCGCTCCACTTGCACACATCATTGAGGTTATAGCACGTGCTCCTGTTGGGAGTTATAAGGATTGGGAAATGGCTCGTCCTGTAGTAAGACTTAACCAATCATGTCAATTCCACCATTAAAAGAGAGTTAAATTATTAACGAGTAGTTTGGTGCTTAAACCGTTAAAATTAACCAACGTATGCCGCTGTAACGCTTTCTGCAAAACAAGTGGAAGCCGCATAAATCGTTGTAATTCCACTTAAAAGTGAGCCTCGAAGGGTTTCAAGAACAGCTAAGTTCGTTCATATTAACCAAGACGTAGCTTTCCAGTGGGCCTACATAAAATCGTAGCCATTTCTTTCTTCATCTAAACCTGAATAAACCAAACAAATACATTCAGCTGAAAGATCGACAAAATGTCGATGGGTTGCAGCAGCCACGTGCTGCGTCGACTTGTCTGCAACCTATTCATACGCACATACCTACAGTCAGATAGTTTCAGTCAAATGTTTTCCAAGCTTTTCCATGAAGGACACGGAACAAGTACTCCACACAAGATGTGGCACTTTGCGAAAGCTGGTCTGAAATTGGTGGCACAGATGCGATCAAACTCAAAGGCTCGGAAGGAATTACATGACAATGCGTCCTTGGTGAATAGACTGCATTTGTATTCTGCGTAAATTAATAAATTTGAGAAAGAAACAAATTAAAAAAAATGATTTGTGGGGCTTTGGTTAATGATTTTTTTCACCAGAAACACAGCCATATGTTTTTGACTTGCATGGTCAGGGGCTGTAGAGAATTTACCGTAAAACCAGAAAGTGCACAAGGCAATTTAGCCAACCAACTCCGGCAAGCTTAATATGGCATATGCAGCAANTTTCTTGCTGGGTATGAATAATGGTCAAGTGGCACTAATAAGCAGGTGGTCGTGGGTTTAAATCCCATCCGAGCAAGCTTGCCAATTTGTTCACAGGCTCACGGCACACAAGCATAGAGTATACAGTGTTAACTGTGTTAATTAAAACACACCAAAAGGCAAAACCCGTATCGTTGTTGTCGCAGTCAAATGGATCCAACCCACAGACCAGATAACTACAGTCGAATAGTTACGGCTTATGTAAAGACTATTGATTGGATCGGTTGCGTTATGGAGTCAGGCATTATTTTGTCACGCATGCCAGTGAAGCAGTGAGTAGGCAATGTGGACAAAATAATATGTAAATATTGAATTTTTTTTCGTCGACGCGCCCAGGAAAATAGAAAATAAGCTCCCTTTGATAAAAATTGTGGAAAAATCTAGGATTCCCAATGGCCTGGCAGCCTCAACAAACCTCGACATGGCAAACAAAGGAGTTTTCACTAGGTGGTGATCTGCCTCAAACCAGTTTCGGCAGTTTCAGGGTTTGGGGACCATTATATCTGATTTCGATTGATGTCGGTTGCTTTACCGGTAGCTTCTGCAATGTTTCAAGACTTGAAAGCACGTCGACTGATATAGCAAACTTTAAAACTAAAAGCGGCGAGTCGTTTTCCTTCAGAACAGACGAAGTGCTTTGATGAGTTGGCTATTCGAGATTCACATTTTCGTTATAAACCGCAACTCACTTTCTAGGCAAAGGGCGATTTGTCACATGAACCGTTTTGCAACTTCATGGAATCAGCGGAGGGGGGGGCATGGAAGTTGATGGAACATGGCTTCCTCTCCGTCTCCAGCTTCGCCTGATTTTCATCCCCACCTTGCGTTTTCTTGCTCGTTTGCTCTAGACCAAAACATCGATCTATAAGCTGTCGTCTAAACGGTTGAAGTGTTTTCACAAGATAGTGCGGCCTATATGCCAGCGCATTCAATGTCAGAGACGAATGCCAGAGACGGAGGCGAAGCCAAAATTTGTTGGGAGCCTTGTGCCAGGCTCTTCTCGGGGGGAAGGAGGCAAGAAGGGGGCCAGAGTTCCCACAGGGAGTCAGCATCCCCCCCCTCCCAAAGGCTACACCACTAGGTATGTAACGCCGTAGACGGGTTTGCCAAAGAATCAAGAGCAGGGAGAGTCAGTTTGGTCTCATGTATAGTGTCCACCAACCCACACCTTTTTAAAGCGGAAAGAAGACAAAACGGCTTGATGAGGAGCCAACCAACAGAATTACTCATTGAAGAGAGTATTTATGTACATGTAGATGTAAATTGATAATTTAACAAATTTAAATTCTCCATTTGCCAATATTTGTTTTGTGCCGCGTTTTGTTAAAATTTAGTGAAGTATATTTTTGAGTGAGTAAATGTCTCGTCAGTATATGCACTTTTTTTCTCAGAATTTCTTATATAGCAAATTCGACTTAATTTATGTATAGAAGTTCCAATTTTGTTTTACACTGATTGCCCATGATCCAGAGGCACCTAGTTGCTATTGTCTATTAGTTTATGTTCATAATATTCGGATTCGGTTTCTCACAATGTCAAATAATATACTGAGTGCAGGGTGCCCGGTTTGATGATGCCTTCAATTCGCCAAGTCCGTGTTGAGCATAGGATCCTCAAGGGTCGAACAACGTGCACTGCATGCATGTACGCGTTTGCCTTCATAGCTCACTTCTCTGTACGCCTATCTGTACATTTTTGGGTTTTGTTTTTTGAAAGTTTGATATATATAGTCACACTGAATAAAAGAAAAGTTAGCTGCGGATCATAGTAAAATGTTGTGCTGAATCACAGTAGAGTTCATTACCTGTTAATGTCATTAATACCCCCCCGATTGAACTGGCGACACCCATGCCTATCAGTCCTATTAACTTTAAGGTTTCTGTGTAAACGGGAAGAGTGGACCAAATTACTGTCTGTTCCAAGAGTATCTCAAAATGCAGAGCGGATTGATCAGAATTACGCCTGTGATGTCTTTATGATTGTAACTGTCTCGTGGCGTGAGTGTGACTAAAGAATAAACAAACTCGAGTGCATTTCACTGCCATCTGTCCTGGTGACCCCGGTTAACACAACTGCTGTTTGATCAGGTACGGAATACGCGCAACTTTCACTTCAAGTCTAGTTTTGATTCCTTTTTTGCCTTTTTTTCCCTGCCCTGCTGTTATCGCACATGTCGACATATCAAATTGTAGTGTTTATCTTTGGCACTCTACCCAACTGCCCAATGCTGTTAATAAATGAAGCTATAACAGAAAAAACAAACAACTGAACGGGAGCGAGAGCAATATTTAATTATAATATGTGATCTGGTTGCCACGATAAAATGATGAAAGTGAAGTCGATAACACATTAAAAAAAAGGGAAAGAAAAGGTGTAATTTATTTTGACACTGTGTTACGATCCGACAACTGCAAACTATTTAGTTATAATTCTGAAGATAGAATTTTCTCCGATGCAACAAAGAAGTCAAACAAGATCACACTGATATGAGGCACAACTAAACAAGTATGATTTAATGAAAATTAAAAGAAAAGAAAAAGAAAGCATGTAAAAGAAAATAAAGAAAATGCTGATTGGACCCAGAAACTGAGTTTACAATGATAAAGAATATCTCATATAAACAAGGTGTTCTTACGGGCGAGCACTTGGCAAGGCACTACAGTGAACTTGAGGATGCTGGACTCCACAGGTGGCGAAAAACAGTCCAGTCCTTGGCGGTGCAAAAATAAGTTGCAACGGCGACGAATACCACGTCCAATAAGAATGACCGGGCTCGAGACGAAACCGTGACGGCGAGGGCGTGATGGCCGTCGCAAATACGGGAACTTGATGATCCCACAATCTGGAACTGGATTAAGTTCAGGAACTAACTCTTCCGGAACAGCTCTGAACTTCACTTGGTCTAGACGAACCTTTCTTACAAGTGTCGCTCCACAGACGACTCGCCATCACGGGTTGAAATGGTGCAGAAATCAACAACTTGTCACAGCTCGCATACATGATGGTAGGATTGCCTTCCAAAATCCCTCTTGCGGTGTTCAAGTTGTGTGTCAATATTCCTGTTCTTGTCTGCCAGAGCCCACATTTTATAGTCTACAATCCTTCTAGAAATCCCTTTGATTACGTAAGTTTCTCAAAATAAACTTTTTAACGTTACTTAATCTTACAAGAAACTTCAGAAACATAACTGGACGAATCGTCAGCTTGCATGAAATTTCCCGCATGTATAACGAGAATATTCACTCCCCCACGATGGATTTTTAAAATTTTATCAATTTAAAAAAATGTATCATGTTTTATTTTTTATTTTGTTTCTCCTATGCTTCATAGGTGAGTAGGAAAGAAACTAATCAATATGTTTATTTATCAAATAAATAGGCATTATTTTTTCACTTTATCACGTTGAATGAGCCAGAAAGTGCAT